ACAAAACGAATACGACTCAGCTGTGAAAAAAAGATGGGATCTTGAATTTACAATAACATGGGTGGAAATGGGTGAAAGTATGCTAAGTGAAAATCAGGAGAATCACAAATACCAGATGATGACTCATGTGTGCAATATACAGAAACCCAGCAAAGGAACAGAGAAAACCTAACCTGCCTGTGGAGTCTGGTTGCAGAACTGAGGCACCTGAGTGGGTTGAGGGTGGGAAGCAAAAGGAGTAAGAAGGCCCAGAGGAACACAGGGGAGGACTCTGGGTGCATTGGAGGTGGGGGGTGAGGGAACCTGCATTTGAGGAGGTGAGTCTCCAACTTTGAGTCATGTGCAGTGTGTAAACGCGTGTTACCTCAAAAATACAACAATAAAACATCTATTTTAAATCAACAGAAAAAAGTAACTGCCGGGACAGCCTCCACAAAATGTCCTGTCAGGGGTTCCTGAAAGGATGAGACGGCCTCAGCGACTTGTAAGGGGCTGAAACTCAAGGACTGAGGGGAAGGGGATAAGGTAGAATGAGGAGACACTGACACTTGTGAGGTGCTAGTATCTTCTGCTGAGAGGCTCAGCAGGTTCTTTATTTACATTTTTGCAAGCAGTGAGATGACATTATCATGTGCATAGAAACAAAGCAGAAACAATCAGTGCATCTCTTTTTCCATAGGCTTTTGTCCACTACGTGCTCTCAGCAAGAAGGCACCTTCAAGGTAATAAAAAACTAAGCCTTACACTAGAACTCATTGTTTCAGCTAAACAATAACCTAAGACAGTTGATAGCCGCCAGTACATCCCTATCAGCTAAAGCCTAAGCAAGAAAAGACTTTTCTTATTTGCATGGCCTTCAGCCGGGACCGGCTGCTACTCAGCTATCAGAACTTTTTCTACCTAGAAACTCCTTAACTCAAATAGCTTCATTTAAAACTTTCCCAAGAAACTTCAAGAAAGGGCAAGAGAAGGACCTATTAGAATTATTGTGTTGTAATGCTTGTCAGGCATGTTCAATAAATTGTCCCCATTGTCAAGTGGGCCAAATTGTTTAATAACTAATTTCTAAACAGGTAATTTTCCGTGCCACTTATTTGCAGTATACTGATGCATATAATTTATTGCCTAATGTACTTTTTGGAAAAATTTTCACTTTTTATGACCAAGAAAAAAAAATAAAGGGATGTTAAATCTTCAGCCCATGGTGTGAGGCACAAGGAATCTTCAGCCCCACGGTGTGAGGCTTTTTAGCTTCGGCCCCACGGTGTGAGGCCCTTTAGCTTCGCTGCTTGCCAGTGTCTTATCTGGCTGGGGCAACAAGGCCTCCTGCAGCAAGTAACTTATCTTCTCCATCCATCACTGACCTCAGGATGTTGCCTTCACCTCCTCACTGTCATGCAGGGTGAGGGGCTGGTTGTCCACAAGGTCAGAGGCAGGAGGTTCAGGGACTCCTGGGGCTGCTCAGACTCTGCTGAGTAGAGACACTGCAGAGAGGGCGGCTCTGAGGGGAACCAGAGACAGAGGGTCAGAGTAACCCCAGTGATGAGTGAGGATCTGGTTCCCAAGGAGAGGGGAGTGTGTGTGTGTGTGTGTGTGTGTGCGCATGTGTGTGTGACAGAAGAGACAGGGCACACAACATAAGGCAATGGGAGGACAATTGCACATCAAGCTCCAGCATAAATGAATTCAAATCCCACAGAGTGAAGAGCATCAGGCAACACCGAATTAAGTACAGTTCCGTGGAGAAGCAGGTTGGAGCAGGACTTGAGGCAGCAGAAGATCTGGAGACAGGAGGGGGGTTGGGACTATTCTCATGGTTAGGTGTAAGGAGCCTGGGTGGGGCCCTGCTGGGCTGTGGGGGCACCTCCCCCTGACAGCTCCCTCTCTTCTCTTCTAATGCTCACTCCAAGCTCACCTCCTTTGGCATCTGGGGGCTCCAGCCTGTTACCCCCTATGTTTCCCAGGGGGTCACTTCCTCCATGTAAATTTCCTATATGTTATGGGATGTAGTTCAATTAAGTAGATTTTGAAAAATTAAAAATACAGATTTAAATACTTTCAATAATAGAAAGTACTGAAATAAATATATCTAAAGCCACATAAGAATTAATTTACATAAATGACTGGATCAAGAAGATGTGGTATAGATACACAATGGAATATTACTCAGCAATCAAAAAGATAAACTCATGCCATTCACAGCAACGTGGATGGAGCTAGAAGGAATTATGCTCAGTGAAATAAGCCAGAAGGAAAAGAAAAATATTGGATGATTTCACTTATAACAGGAATATAAGGTAACCAAATAAGACAGTGTGAAAAAATATATAATAGCAGTACAAAACACAAAAAAGCAAAAAGAGACAATTATAAACCAGAGACATGCTGCAGGGGAGGAGGAGGAAGAGGGATCAGAAGGAGGGAGGGAGAAGCACAGGGGACTGAGGTGATGGTGCACGGGTGCCTTGGGGAAGGAAATTCTATGGGGACTCAATCTGAGGGAGTGGGGGAAGCAAATAGTGTTTAAAAAATGTAAAAAATGATAAATGTTTAAAATAAATAAATTTATTTCTATTTAATAAAAAAGAATTAATTTTACAGAAAATATATTTGCTTGACTCAAAGAAAGGTAGAAAATGATGAAATGGAATAAAAAAGACATGCTACGATGAAAAAGATCAGAATGATAAACTCAAATCTGACCATATCAAAAATCAAGTTAAAGTACATTAACTAAAATTCCAATCAAAAGCCTGAGATTCTCAGACTGGATAATATCAAGGAGACTTGTAGCACCCTTATCTCTGTGTGCTAGAAAGACTTTCTATACAAACAAAAATTGTTAAAAGTGAAAGGGTGAAAGAACATGCCAAGGAAATAGAAAGTAGGACAAACCTTTACTGTCATTGTAGGAGGTGGCAGGAGCGAGGCCTGATGACCCAGACAGCAGGTCCCTGCCTCTTTGACCAGGAGGGAGAAGAGACAGGACCCCAGGCCTGGGCTCTCAGGGTTAGGGAGGGGGAAGGGCCACCCTCCAGGATCCAGGGGTGGGTCGTCTCACCCTGGACAGGAGGGTTCATCCTTGGCATCTTGATTATGGAGTGCAGACACCTGACCCTGGAGGGGGGATACATTTTGTTCTGGGGAAAAGTTAGTAATCTAGGCCCCGACTCCTGGCTGATCTTGTGGCCACCTCAGACTCCAGCTCCTCTCACGTCTGCTCTCTGTGCTCCAGAGCAAGGAGTCCAAGGCCTGGGCCACTCCTCCTGGTGCAGGGGCTCCTGGTGCCTGAGACAGTGTCCAGGGGCTGAGGGCTATGAGCTGAAATGGACTCACACTGGGCTGTAAGGTCCCAGCACAGGGAGGCCCTCTGGAACCCAGGTCATGGCCCAGGGCTGCCCCCACAGGCCTTGTGCTCCCCCTCTCTGGGCTCCTTGATTCTCCCTGTCACCCCAGCATAAGAGAGCTTTGCTCTGAAAGAGGGGAATCCCTTCATCACCACTCCCCTCTTCCTTTCCTGTCTTCACCTTGAATGTGAGTCACCCCACACCTGCAGTGCGCAGATGCCTTTAACTTCAGTACAGTTACTGGTCAGTTACAGAGCTGTCAGCACAGAACCAGCAGATCCCGCACCCCCACACTCATGTCTCCCAGGGAGTCACTGCTGGATGATAACACAGACTCTACAGCCAGAGCCCCTGGGCCTCTCCCACACAGACCACCCCTTCCACCCAGTGTCCCCTGAGCTGACCCTTCCCTGCCCTCACCCTCTCTGGCTCCTCACCCCCTCCCTGCATCTGGCCTCCCTCCCCTAAAGCCCCTATTTCCTCCTCTCCTCTCTCCTCCAGGAGCCTCCCCTCTTGCTAGCCCATGACCCTGGGGGTCTCTCCTCCTGCCCCTCTACAGCAACTCCTAGGAATGAAGAGTTTAGAGTTGATTCCCTGGGGAAGGAGCCTTCAACCCTGGAGTTGAAGGCATTAGGGGCTCCATCGTAGAGGTGGAAGAGTCCTAGGGCAAGTTAGGGATGATTAGGCAGCCTCAAGGCAGTGCAGGGACTCCAGGAGGGTTAAGAAAGTTTCCAGAGATAAGGACAACAGATTCCAAAGGGCATCATCAGACACCCCAGGACTAGGGGCAACAGGACATTCTTGGACAAGGAGGATAAAGAAAAAAGATAAGGGCTGGGACACAGACACTCAGTTCTGGGCACAGAGACATTCAGGCAGGGAGTGAGACCAGGGAGAACTAACCAATCACAAAGAGCCTGGTGGGGCTTTAGAGTAATCAGGGCAAGAAGGTCTATATTCCCAGATACCCAACCCACTTGGGCTTCCTTGCCCCTCCCTGGCCTGGTTCCACCGGCCTGGGAGTCCCACTTTATTTCTGTTCCTTTTCTCCTCGATAAGCTTTTTATTTCTCTAAACAAACCTGCCTCTTCTCCTTGCTTGCCTGAGTGTCCCAAGTTCCTGCTGTGGCTTTGTGAGACCCCAGCCCGTGGGGGTCTAGCGGCTGGGGCTCAGTGCTGCCCCTGCAGCCTGGGATCATCCCTGGCGGGAGACGGGGCCTGAGAACCTGCAATTCCCGTATCATTACCTTAAGGCCTTTAGATTTTATGGGGATGTGAGCTAGCATTGAGAGGGACAGATTTTCTGGGGTCTCAGGCTTCCCCGAGACCTTTAAGTCTTTTCTGCTTCACGCCTTAACTTTTTTAGATCAGCCCAGGGCGTGGAGTGGATGCTCCATGGAGCCACAAGATCCACCTTCCTCCTTTTCTGCCCCCTCCCGGGAGGCGGGTGTGAGGGCAGGTCAGAATCTGGGAACAGTCAGGGGATCTACATGGAGGCGAAGAAACGCTAAGAGTAAGTCCCCCACAATGTACAATTAATAAGGAGAAAAAGCGGCAGGTCCCTGTGAGAACCGGGACAGGAAAGATAAATTGGCGAAGCCGGCCTGAGAGAGGGAAGTTGCGGTAACAGGATGCGAAGAGGGAAACAGCAGAACCTGCGCCCCTGCCCCACCCATGACACCGGCTCCCTCCACCTGCAGAAAGAAGAAAACAAAAACAAACTAGCAGGATGGAGAGCAGAAAGCAACTGCTGCAGGCGCCACGCCCTGCGGCCAGGAAGCTTGGGGGTCCGCACCCAAACCGCCTAGGTGGTGAGGGTCGGGCACTGGGTAATAAAAGATTCAGCGCATCAGAGGCAGGTATGGACCCCGCGGAGACCCGCAAACAGCCAAGGGCAGCCGGGAGCGCGGGAAGCCCTGGCGGATGTCGCTGCCCAGGTCCCCGCCCGCGACCTGAGGCTGTGGGGAGACGCGGAGCCGGCACTGTGGTGAGTCTCCGGAGCGGGGTTCAGGGCGCACAGCCCATGCCTGCGGGGACAGACAGCAGCGCCCCCATCCCGGGTCAGGGATGGACAGGCCCGGCCAGTCTGGTCCTGGCAGCGGGGTCGGTGCAAACCGCAGGTCTCGTCCAGACTCAGCAGGAGTGAGATGCCTGCACAGCTGTTAGGGCGGAGGGTTGAAATTTAGGAAGTTTAAAGTAAATGGAGCTTTATATATTTTTCCCGTGGGGGCAACTTGCTCTCTAGAGTCCCCTTTTTTGTTTTATAAGTTGTGTTTTAAGGAGCCTGTTGGCTCCTTTAACTGTAGTTTGCCCTGCTGGGTGAGAAGGGCACCAGACACATGTTGAATATTCCACACTAGCAGGAAAGAGTTATAAGGTTTTGGAGATGTAAGCAGGTCCATTACTAGTTGTTTGTTTGATTTTTAAGATTTATTTATTTATGCATACAAGAACTAGGTCCAGGCCAGAGGACTCACCAGAGACAGAGTGGGGAACAGAATAGGCAGATCCACTGAAATACACTGCTGAGGGGGCAGCGGGGGAGTCAGGAGACGTCTGCTGCGCCATGTGGGTAGCTCCCTGGCTGGGGATCGAACTCGTGCAGCAGTGGCTGCAGACAGCTTCATAGGTTGTCTTAAGCCCTTGTGATGCCAGGGAGGCCCTCCATTATCACTTAAAAAAACTCTTTTTATCTGCCATTGCAGCGATGGGAATCCCATCACGAATGAAAATTGATAATGGATCATGTTTTTTTTGACATGTTTACCAGTTTACCCTGTTTGGGCCAAGGCTTGAATTAATGCAGAATAGGTGTCTTTAGAGACATGAATGTAACATCTATTTGTCAAATATCATTACATTTCAGACCTGGAGCTTCTGTATTATTTCTACCTTTTGTAGCAGTGGTTAGAAGAGCCAATGGATTGTTAATTTGGAATTTGGTTATGATGCCCTGTCCCCATAGAGGAAATACTCAGGAAGACTAAAATTTAATGTGTTATGTATTTTTATCAATATACCCAGATTGATCCAATTTGTTTTTACAAGGAAAACATTTTATTGGCTGTCTTAGTGTTACAGGGCAACCCCAATATAAAATGGGTTGCCTGACTGTGGTCCTCACCCATGCGATTAAAGGGGATTAATTAATACTCAACTGCAGGGTCTAGCCTGGTCATTCAGCGGTTGAGCACTGGGCTGCGAAGCTGCACGCAGCCTCTGCAGTGCTGGTTCTATCCCCCACCACAAGCAAGGGTCCCACATGGTGAGCTGACTCTCCTGCTGCGCCCACTGCACCCCTCAGCAGTGTGTTTCATCAGGCTGTCTGTTCTGCCTCCCCGCTCTGGCTCTGGTGAATTCTCTCACCCTCTTGCTTCTGACTGTACCCAGTGCTTGTATAAATGAATAAATAAATCTAAAAAAAAAAAACCTCAACTATAGGCACACTCAAAAGGTTAATAAAATGTTTATTTACAAAGGAAAGGGAAAATGAAGAAATGAGTAATTCGGGGGGGGGGGGAAAGAGGGAGATGAACTCATGAATCTTTCCTACTCATTCCACTAACCTGGATCCTGGTGGAATCGCCATGGCATGCTGAAAACTGGCCAAGAGCCAAGACCCCTGAAGCCAGGGGTCCCCCCCCCCAGGCCCACATGTCTGATTTTATACCAAACCTGGCAGCTTAACTCTGCCCTCAGGTCCCAGCAACCCTCCCTTTGGTGATGATGGGATTTGTCTTTCCCAATGTCTTTATGTTTTGGTCTGGAGTGGAGTCCACAAAGCCTGTATGAATTTGCTCAGGACATGCTTTCCCCCGAACATTAGGAGTCCTTCTAAGACAAAGACTTTAATATTTTTTTAATAGAATTTATTTTTATTATTTTTATATTAATTTTTAAATTTTTTTACATCATTGTTCGTTTTAAAACAATATTTGCTTCCCCCCCACCCCGTGTAGTCCCCATAGAGTTTCCTTCACCAGTGCACCCTTGACCATCACCTCAGTCCCCTGTGCTCCCCCCTCCTTCCCTCTGATCCCTCTCCCTCCTCCTCCCTGCAGGATGTCTAAAGACTTTAATATTTTAGAATTTTTGGTATCAAGGAAGTTGTCTAGGATTAACAAACTTGCAGATTTTATAAAATAGTTAATTACTCAGTGATAAGGATTTTTAAGAATAGAGCTATTACTTTGACAAGGCTCAGCAATGCTGATGGGAAAAGATTTTGAGCACCTAACATTTTTTTCAGATCCCTCTCTCAGACCTTCAACACTTTCTTTTGCTTTCCTATTTTTTTTACCATTTCATTTTAAGGCTAGCCATTTTAACACTCAGTGTTTTCCAATATCTTCACCATATCCATTTCAAATACATTCCTTAACTCACTTTATTTACATTTAGAGTTATGACATCCCATTTTTTTATTTCTAGATTGGAAGGCATTGTAAGAGCTGTTATGCTATCATTCCTTTGTACTGGTGTTACAGGGCACAGAGAGGGGCCCCCCTGAATCCCCAAACCTGCCTACTCTAAATAGGTTCTGCCATCCACCGCATCAGGACAAAACATAGAAGACCTTTAATGGAAAGAAACTTTAATACAATTAGAGAAAAATACAGAAAAGACAAAGAATATAGTCTAAATCAAGCAGCCAGAGTTACCCATCCCTCGTGGGTAAAAGTCCACCCAAACAGGATTGGCCCAGAGCAAGGCCTGAAAACCTGCCACAAGTCTAAAGCAACTTCCAGTGTGGACTCAGAGAAAAGGATCAGAAACAACCAGACAAGTCTGGGAGTAAAAGAGCAAAATCAAAATCAAGGTAGAAGCTGCCGTTGTCACCACCCCATGGGCCTCTCACCCACATCTGTGTCACCCAGTCCACGACCAAAAGGCAAACTCAGTTTCTTCATGTGTCTCTCTGCTCCATACGCCTCCTCCAGGTCTCCTTCTGGCTCCATCCTGCTTCCTTCCTTCCTCAGTCTCCTCTGCAGCTTCTTCTCTTCTGCTCAGCAACACCCTCCCTTGGGTGGGGCGGGGAACCTGGAACCTCCCCTTTCCTGGGGACCACCCTGTTACCCTGGATAACTCATACATAAACACGTTTTAATTGGGTTAATTTGTTTATGTGAGATGACATTAAATTTTAGTTTTCTTATAATAAGAGCAAAAAGGAAACCTGAAGGCTCAATGATTTTAGAGAAAGTGATTTTAATTATTTAACAAATTCTCATTGTTAAACTTAGGAAAACCTTAGTTTTATAAATTTGGCCACCATTTAAATAATGACAAAAGAACAAATTTAAGAGAGAGATACCAATTGTAGCTGCCACTTTTTCTTAGGACTGGAATTTTAAACTAATTCCAGAGCTGATAATTGTAATAATCCCATAAACAAACTTTCTTTCTTAGTCACGCACTAGATAGATTGATGAAAAACAAGAAAAATCAGAGAGACTTAATATCATATACATTTCCTACATACATGTGAGGAACTCAGTTCTGCTAAGTAACTTGCCCATGAAGCTATTGATGTCATCTTGAAATTTTTGCTAGGACAAGGGGAGAGAAGTCAATTGGGGCTTTTCCTGGAAAAGAATTGTATTAAGAGAAGTTTAGGTATAATCATCAAAATGCAAACATCTTTTTTGATGTAGACTAGGTCAATTACTCTTTTTTTTTTCCTGAGTACTATGCACTTCCTTTTTAAAATAAAGACATTGAAAAATAAAGTACTGATACTTAATATTATAAACATAAGGCATGCATGCTTCAAATCCACCATTGAGTTTTGAACTAGTTTTTGATTGCCAAAATTTTGGATTGTGATCTCAGAATTGGGGACTTTTTATTAGAATTTATATAGGCACCATTTATAATTAACTATGTGGAGGTATAAGACAGTGATAGACACAGATTTTTTGATTCTCATGTTATTGTATTATTTTTAAAAAGATTTGTTTATTATGCATACAAGAACTGGGGTACAGGCCAGAGGTGTGGGGGGTAAGAGGATTCACCAGAGAGAGTGGGGAACAGAACAGGTGGATTGACTGAAGTACACTGCTGAGGGCATTAAGTGTCCTGTATAGTTTAATAGCAATTACAAAGTAACTTAGCAATTTTTACCTTAAACAGTCAGATTTTAGGATTCGGAAAACATAGGAAAGTAGAATTTTGTACCCATAGAACAGACCAGAACAGTATCTTTTGTAACATTATGACCTCATGAGAACCAGTCACAGCTGAGTAGTGAGTAGACCAGGATACTTTTCTTTCTTGGATTGATTTTTTATTGGCCCTGGATTATAATTATCCTGTTCCCTCACTCTCTTAGTTCCTGTTGTGCTCATTCCTAATCACCCCCAAGACAACCCCAGGGTCAGAGTCTCCATGGATATATCACACAGACCAGCTATTCTGCCTGCGCTTCATCCTGGGCAGGCCCCTGTCCCTTCACTGATGCCAACATTGGACTAATATGATAGGACCCCTGACTCCAAATTCTGAGCAGGTTCTAATGAGTGACCGTGGGAAAGCTGTGTCTCTGGTGGGAGACAAGGTCAGGTCTGCCTGTATCTTTAGAAACCAATGATTGGGGCTCTTTTCTCTTTAAATTTCTTAAAAGAAAAAATATCATGGCCTGTTTTTCTGCACTAGTGATGGTCACCTGTCTGTTTCGAAATCCAAGTTCACCTCTAAATTTGGGGTTTTTCTGTAGGGTCATTTTGGTTTCTGGAGTGAGAGCCCAAAACTGGCTCACAGGAAGGTGACCCACAGGGCCCAGATTCCCTCCTCCTGCAGAGAGAGATTCTTCCCTTTACTCAAGGACTCCCCAGTCACCCCAGGGTGCATAACACAG